CTATCCAGATCTCTAACCGTTCTTGGATAGCTCTCTGATCCTTTAAGCCAAAAGACCCGGTCCTCCCCCACTTAGGGTTCGAAACATCACCGATTGGTGCACTAACACTCTATCCCTCGGAATGCCTCCACCAGCAACATCGCACCTAATCTCGCAAGGTGCTATGCAACGCTCGATGATCTCCTCGGCAGAGATCGAACAGCTCCAAATACCCAAATCTCATAGAAAATCCTCAGATGTTACCATCATGACCGCCTCTAAGCATTCAGAATCTCACATCGTACCCTCAACGGACCTTCCAAATGTCCAGTATCAACCCTGACTCCTAATCTGGAAATAATGAACTATCATACTCATCATCCTCGACTCCTCGTCCCACGCTCCGACATATCCCTTATCATAAGAGTAGAAACCACATTTCCACTCTTTATATATATCAAAGACAATAAGAGTCACCACCCTGATATACTCCCCTTGATTGTCCAACATTGCAGCCATCACATGCGCTACTATACTCCAATAGGGTGTATCTTGGTCCTTAACCGTCTCAGTCCCCACTGACAACCTGCTCAAGCTATATCATTCCCTCGTGACAAATCTACTTCCAGATACTCTGATTGAAGATCACCATCAGTGCGATCCCACAAGGTTCACCCCCAACTCAGAAATTGAAATCTCAACACCTTATCATGTCTCCCTCTGAAATGGAAATAGCACCACTCGGGTCACAGAAGGTGACACCCCTGCTATCGTTTGGTTACCCAGCTCAGACCGTATTCTTTCATAACGTGTTGACCCTACTCATATCTGAGTTTTGAGACTCTATTGGCATATCACCAACAATCCCTCTGAGCTAACTCGATTTCCCTATCAAGGGATGTCCCACTAAAACTCGTTCATCCTGGCCTCCTGGCCCATATTCTATCTCATCCATTCATAGATTGACCCCAACACGACAGAATAACTGGAAAAGCACAAACACTATCCGCTACGAAGCATGGAACTCGAACCATCACATCACCACTCGCTATGTCGCCGATCATGGTACCCAAACCATGATATCACCTCTCGATCTGCTACTGATCATGGTACCCCAACCATGACATCACCTCATGATCTGCTATTTAGAGCCTCTAGAATACTCCCTGCATCAAGTATGGTCCTCTGCACGGACCACTCCAGATTTCCTAAGTAGCTGATCAACCTCCTCTTCACCAATCTCAACATGCGTGCTCGCTCCCTAGAAAAATCCTCTAATCTGTCAGCGTACTCTCGTGACTAAGGACACTTCCTAGCTGAGAAACTCCTTATGATGCCAATCATCTACCTCCTGAATATCATCACATTCACTTGGTAGCTGACTCCCATCATCGGGAGTCCCACAAAGCACGAAGCAAGCAACATTCGGGCATCGAATAAACACATATAACACGCCCTAGGTGATAACTCCATTAGCTCTACTCATACCCAAAATATATCACCAAACTCTGCAAAACTACCCCCCACGGGTATCTAGGTACTCTCTTAGAAGGCTCCACCAATGCTCTTCTAGGTATCTCTCCTAGATTACTCCTCTACTCAGATCCCTCTTTACAAGGATTCTTGCTGGATACTCTTACTCAACACATACTCGAAAGCGCATCAAAGATAACAACAACTCCAAGGCTAAGGCATCACAAATCAGACCACTCTAGTCCTAATATATGAAATACGTAGCCTATCTCTAGCATGCATAATATCTCATAATATCTCTTATAACATAAGGTAAGGGTATTTTAGGAAATCACCGTTCGGGCTCTAGCTGATTGTACACACTACTCTTTCTCGTTTTCTTTTTAGAAACTCTTGCTCGTTTTTAGAAAAAAAAAATCATTTATTTTGAAAACTTTCCTCCATTCCTCAGTTTGAGTCCAGATATACCCGAAGGTGCATCCGAATACCTCAAACCAAGGCTCTAATAGCAACTTGTAACACCGTATATTTCACAACAAATTTTATTTTTAAAAAAATTATAATTCTTAGTACATATTTCAAAAAACATCATTTATTAAAATCACAAAACATAGCTCCATGTTTAATAAAATGGTAATCCAGGATCCTCTTAACTCTTTCTCTGGTGTGTACAATCAAGCTCGTGCCGTCCCACGATACAAATAAGGAAAACTTGAAACACATAACACATAACACGGTAACCACGAAGCTTAGTGAGTTCACCAAAATACCACATACAACACATACGCCACTCGAGACTACTGTACGACCCTCCGGTCGATGTGTCTCAGTGGGACCGTCCAGTCCCGTAGCTTGTTGGGCCCTCTTGCCCGGTTTAAATCATTGGACCCTCCGGTCCGGTCTATATCATTGGACCCTCCGGTCCGGTCTGTATCATTGGACCCTCCGGTCCGGTGTATACCATCATATAACATACATATATCACATAGCACACAACTCATTTGTAACATATAATCTTGTACATAGCACATAGGACCCTCCGGTCAACATATAAATACCACTCTAGATAACGTATAGTGAGAAGACTCACCTCGGATGAAGACCAACTCCTATAATCACTGCTGCTACACACCGGACTCTAACTCTGTGCCAAACCCACAATAAATCTCAATTAGGAGCTAAGTCCAACCTCTCACGCATTGGTTCTAAAGATAGACCACCTAACAGCCCATTAATACCCTAAGCCCATTCGGCCCACCAAAGCCCAATAATAAATGGGTCCTCATACAACCCGATTCCCAACACAAAAGGCAAGCCCAAAAAAAGGGCCCCAAAGCACATATATACACTCTGCTCGTCCAAGACTCTACGCATGAAGTCCAACTTCAGGCCCAACACTCAAGGCCCAAAACATCACTTAGCCCAAAAGCCCACAGAGGGGTTACGCAGGGTGTACCTCCTTTGGTACGCTCATCGTACGCAAGCATGCACAAATCTGATCGGGGACCTCAGCCCAGTATGTGGGGCGTACTAGGATTACGATGGGCGTACTCTCAGTTTTGCTTAAATGAGTTTTTGTGTCTTAACTCGTTAAGAGCTTAACATATCTCTTGGATCTGGACTTCCTAACATCTGCTACTCCATAAAGTTATCGACTTTAAGCGTTTGCATGGCTTATAAAGTCACAACACATGAAACTCTTACGTCCTTAACCGAAAATGCATATAGCTCATGCATGGGTTGAATCTCATGATCAAGATATCATTTTTATGGTTCCCCGCCACTAAATACGCTTAAAAGGACAGGTCATTTAGCTCTGGAGTTCACCAACTCACAAAGTTCAAATCTTGGAACATAAAACCCTAAAATGGACCATACTAAGTATAGATCAAAAAGAATGGTAAAGCTTTGAGCTTTTTTCCTTCAAATGATGCTCTAGCCCCAAAAAAGCTCAGATCCATGGCCTTAACTTCAACTCCATTCTTGTTCATGCTCCTTCTTAACTCCAAAGAGCCCACAATAACACATACAAGCTCAACATGGCCACCCACATGCTCAAGAAAGATTATTTTAAGGTTTGAGAGGGTTTAATGGCTGAGGAAGGTGGCCAGAAATGAGACCATCACATCCTTTAAATAGGGATACCACTTGAATTAAGGTTTTCCTTCAACGCCTAGTACGCCTAGCGTACCCTCTGGTATGTCGTGCGTACTGGGTGGTCCATGCACCCAATCCATGCTCATAGGTACGCTAAGCGTAACCATACATATGCCCAGCGTACCCGATGCTACTCATTTCTCCATAAGGATTCAACTTTCTGTAACTCCCAAACCATCATAGCTTCTTTGATATAACTTCAGATTCTCAAGATCCTGATTTCTATGGACAGGTGACGAGATGCCTTAGGATACCAGCAACTCGCCACAACCCGAGACTTCCTCATGCCCGGTTCGTGGCGCACGAACCCTAATCATGGACAATCCGAAATGGGACATTACAATAATCCTAAAAGTAAATACGAGTGGACAATCCCAACTCGTTTGTAGAAAATGCACTAAAAAATATGCCCAATGACGCAACACTTTATGTTCAACAATCTCCCCATTTGCGTCAATTGAGATCATAGCCCTTCAGTTCTTGATTCACTTCTGCACCTCGTAGATCTTTGGAACGAAGCTCAGTAGCAGCTTGGGAACCTAGATATACCACGTGATCGTATCAGAGAAACGTTTCAAGTCATCCTTGTGGTTGCCCTTGAAAGTCGTAACCAACTCCAAAATAAACTCCAGACAAGTAGTAGTATACAAGTATTTGTCTTCAAGATGAAAATATAGCTTCTGACGTTCTGCTCTTGGATGATCTCTAGACATGTACACAACAAAACATTCTTCCTGTTAAATTTTTCCTGGTTTAAGCTTCTCGAAGTTATTCGAAGCTTCCTTAGGAACAACACTTGGTTTCATCCTCAAAACTGTAGCAATATCCACATCCATCGTTCCAACCTCCTGAATGTAAGACTTGATCATAAGTTGGATATGGATCATCACAGGTTCGTACTTCTCCTTTTCTCTTAGCAACATGTTGTATAGCACTATCTAGTCATGGGGGTTGAGGCATGACAGGTTTGCGAGTGTGAATTCGTAGGCTTGACATGTTGATCCTCTTGCAACATTAAACTTTGCACTAGGGAAGCCTTCGGTCTTGATCGACCCAGTGAATTTCACAGTGACAATCTTGTGAATACTCCAAGTCTCATGTGGAAGCTTCATGTGCTTAAACTAAAAGGAAAACAACATCTGATCAAACCTTTTTTCTGTAAGGGGTGCATCAGCAACATTCACGAAGTCATGAAACCTGAAGGCCTTTAGAGTAAGTGGAAGGACCAACTATGAATCCTTAGAATTTTCAACTTCAAAGGATGCAACTGGATCCAACCAATATTGGCTCGGCAGATCCACAGCTTTATTCTGAATCCGCTTCAGGGTCCACTTGGGGAATAATATCATTCGGCTTTTGATTGTGGCCTCATCTTTATCAGCCTTTTCCTTTTATTCTGCCTCTCTGACGATGCGAGCATTTTCGTCCAACTCTGCCTCACGAGCCTTCCGCCTTTTAAGCTCAGCTTCATCAGGCCCTTCGTCTCCTTCATCATTGATAATGGGTTCATTGTTAATTAGCTTTTCTTTACACTTGGTTTCTTTCTTAATGATAGGAGGATTGACTGGAGCTTTGGGGGTTCATTCAATTGAACTTTGGAGCCACCTTCACCCCTTTGTTGTGAAAACGACACCGATTTCGTAACACCTTCCAAACAGTGCAACATAGCGCACACCGGGCGTAACTTCTCAGCCAGATTCTTCTTTACAGTGATGGAGATCATGGGATCACGAGTCTCAATGATATCAGAGAGCAATCTAGGAATATCGGAGATACAACTTCTAGTGACAGCCGTCTCCGAAAGCAAATCATCGGCCTGCTTCTCAGTGTAGTGAAGCTTTGTTTCCAACACTTTACATTTTTCATCTTTGATGGTTAGAGCATCCATTATTTTTCTCTCCATCGCCAGTTCCTCCTGAAGCTTTGAGATCTCCGCATTGATGGAAGACTGGAATGCTTGATTATCAGACTGAAACTCCTTCCAAAGATCAACAAAGTTCATCCTTTCCGCTTTAAACATGGCACCAATATTATGAATTGCCTTGTTCGCAGTGACAGTGTTGGAGTTGTAGGTAGTCTTGTAATCTTCCATAAACTCTATGGTGTCAGCAATTAGTTTATCGACGTTTTCAGTAGTGGATTTGCAGACTTTAGCTGAATCAAAAACTTCCATAGTCATAATAGAGGTGTTAGCAGCATGTTCCATTGTGAGCCACTCAAGAACGGACTCAACAGCTGCTTTGGAGTAAGCCTCAGAAGAAGAAGCTTTGGATGCGAGAATCAACTAGTTGATCTTCTCATGAAGAGATTTGAGTTCCCCCTAGCAGAGGCTTCATCTTCACTATAAATCCTTATTTGAAAAGGAATGTAAGTGAATTCGCCCATATCATCTTCATCATCTCCGAAAATAATGTCTGGGTCATCGATGCGAATGGAAGAGATGGGTTGAGTAAAATGGCTTGAAAAACCTGAAGCGTTAGCCCCCATATCAGATACATTAACTGAACTTATAGGTGCACTAGAGGCTTGGGGTGGAATGGTGCATTCTGTGAAGATAAGGATTGAAACTGGAATAGATGTTGGTGGTTGAGATGAAACAGGAGGAGGACAAGATTTAATAGTAATTGGTGTAAAGGTGGTTTTTTTTAGGGAGGAAGGAGGAGAAGGAACATAATCATTGAGTGGTGGAGTTACCTCATGAGTCGGGGGTGGAACTTCAGTGCGAACAGGAGGTTCGTTGTGAATGTGTTTGCTACCCCTTGATCTTCAGTGCGAACTGGCTGATTCTCCTCGATGCGAATCTCCGACTCGGATTCGGATTCAGAACGTTCGCCTTCACTCTGTTATGGAGGAGTGGGAGATTTTTTCCTTTTATCAAGTTGCTTTCTTCTCTTTGGTGCAGCAGTAGATGCAACATGAGCCTTTCGTTTTTTTGATGGAGTTTTCGCACCCTATGAAGGTCCTTCTTTGGTAGCATCTTTCTTGCAAGCTTTCATCGACCCTCTTCCCCTTTTCTTGCCTTTGTCCGCCTCAACCAAGACTGCTTGGAATTCAGCAGTCATTAGACAAAATCTTGAGGGAGTAAGAGTACGATAACCCTCAAGGATTTTGTTGGTGGCAGGCACATCAAGAAACATCGCCTCCGGTATTGATCCAATGAAGGAAAACATTGAAGCATCCGCCACAATGGTGTCAGTAGTATGAAGTGTTGCAATAGGATCCATCAGTGCGTCATACATCACTGGAATCTTGAGTTGCTGAATTGCTCTGTGAACGATGACTCTCTAGAATCTTGCACAAGAGATCTCACTGTGACGAATAGCCGAGTGAGTGCTCTGGATAACTTCAGCCTAGAGGATGGAACCATAATCAACATTTTCTCCGATATAAAGACCATACATTAGAGCCATGAAAAGCTTTCCCTTGCAGTCACTAACAATGACCCTTTCAGAAAAGGCTTTAAACAAGATGGTGAATAGGACATTCCATGTAGGTGGAAGATTGGGTTTCTTAAACTTGGAAACGGCAGTAAGAGTTTCCTTGTACCCCATTTGATAAAACATTTCCAAGATAGAAGCATTAGAAATGGTTTCTAGGTTGACCAAGTTATCAGAATGAGGAAGCCCTAACAGAGTGCAGAAACGGGCTTTAGAAATACAGGTCAACTAGTTATGGGTGTCGAAGTATATCTGTTGTTCATCCTTGACATAGTTGGCCATTGTGAATGCCTTGGAGAGAATAGAGATCGGAACATTCTCAAGTTGAATCAAAGAAATGGTGAGAGGTGAGCAATCGATAAGAGGGAGCAAGAAAGGATCATACTTAACTAGATCCAGATCGATGATGAGGTTTTGGTGTTGCTTGATGGCCAGAAGAGTTGAACGAGCAGTTTGTTCGTGAACAAAAAGATTCTCAGATGATCCTGTCATTAATGAAGCTTTGAGAAGAAGATGAACAGTAAAGAACTTTTTGATCGCCAAAAACTGCTTTAAGAACTTTGAAAGTCGTAATAATAGATGGAACCATCAAAATCTTTATATACAATTCGACATGTGAGAAAAATCCGGAAAGAGAGTGTATCGATTACTGAATCGTCGCCTGAAAAAGCGCGATGTGACAACTGTGAATTGTCAGATACGTGCATCACACGGTGTAGTAATATATATATATATATATCCGTTCATCTTTTCAAGCACCCATTTGAATTCTTATCTTTTAAATTATGTTGTGTCAGCTCATCTCCATTCACAGTTAAGAAAGCCCTTTTGATTCATACAAAAGTTCAAAGGCACGAAGGTGGGTACAACTGCGAACCTGAAAAATTATTAGTAACCACATACAAGATTTTTTGAAAATCACTCTGTCACACCCCGAAAACCGAAGGCGGAAACATTTCCGGGGTTGACTCCACGTTGAGTATCAAATCCAATGCAAATACTAAGTAAGTAAAACAACCATTACATTACATAAGAAAAGTTTTACAGTTGTTTCAAAAGTAAAGTTTGTACAATTGTGATACATAGTATATATAAACAAAATGAAACGGGTCTTCACGTACTCCGTCTTCAAACAAAAAGGATCTTCGGGTACCTGTTCTAACGCTGACCTGAGAACACAAGCGGTTTAAAAATCAGCATAAAGCTGGTGAGTTCATAAGCGGTTTTTGTTTGTGAAAATGTTCAAGTTTCCTTTCTGTTTTTGAAATGTTATGTATACCAATAAAATCCCATATTTTCTTAAAGTTGGTTGTTCTTTCACAAATGTAAAGTATAGTAAGTTTCTACACTGAAAACATGTCTACTCATGTGAAAATGTATAGTTTGATTATCCGGCTTGTTAAACTGTTCTATTTACTTATCATGTATTCCCAGGAAAGTCTCATACTTTCCTTATTGTATGTTACCAAATGTAAAAGATGTAATGTTATACAGTTTGTTACACTTTCTAGTTATGTAGGAGTTACCCAGGAAAGCCCCATGCTTTCCTGCTTTTTGGTTTTCAATGTGAATGATGTAAAAGATGTAAAAGATGTAAACGTAGTTAGATTCCATGTTTTCCCCCAGGAAAGTCCCATACTTTCCTGAATGTTGGTTACTGTTCATGAAAAATGTAAAAGATGTATAAAGTGGTTCATTATTACTTTAAGTAAATCTCTGTTATCCTAATTGCGAGTTCCATAACCATACGATGGACTAAACCTGTGGCAATAAGTAGTCCACATGTGGCAATAAGTAGTCCACATACTTATGACTTTCGTCACCCTTGAACCATTTCGGTTCGGCTGTAGCTAGCAGCCAGGTGTGGGGTAGTCAGCCCCGTATAGATCTATACACTCAAGTCACGCTCTCTAAATACCAGAGATTATGGTTACGGGTGTAGTCCTCCACTCGCGTATCTCTGTGGAGTGTTCGCTGAGGATGTGTCTCCAATCATACAGGATTAACAAATTTACTAGTAATAATATGATAGTCCTCTACTCGCGTTTATGTGTGGAGTGTTACCGACGACAAAACAGTGTACAGATATTACATTCAAATGTCTAATGTCATGCTTTTAACTGATAAAATGTGGAAAGCCATTTGTGAAATATATGTAAAACATAACAGTTTAAAGACCTAGTTCATAAATATATGTTAAGTGATCTGGATGTTCAAATGGTTATCAGCTGTAGTAATCAGTTATAAAAGCATATGGAATATGAAACAAACATTTGAAAGCATGTTTTGAGTACAAGAATTTCCTTGTACTTTGCTTGTGTTCCCCCTGAAAACAGTGAAAACAGTGAAAAAGGGTAGGGGTATGAACTCACCAGACTCGGAAATGCGTCGGTTTTGGATACTAGACATTGGTTCGGGGTTTGATTACTCGCGATGTCCCTATGTAAAATGAAATAATGTCCATATATATTTAATTAGGGATACATTTTCTAATTATATGGAACATTACAATCCAACGAGGTTAAACTCCTCAAAACAAGCGTTTGGAGTGACCCAGGTGACATCTTCAGACGTGTAATGGCACTAGGGACTTGGGACTTGAGTTTACTCCCCAAGAGTAAACATTTTAAGGAGTTTACAGCCATAAAACACACACATACATGAGTTTACGGCCGTAAACTCACGTGGGTGTGATTTTGAGTGTTTAATGGCTTAAATGGACATGGGGATTAGTGGAATGGATTTCTAAAATGCCTTGGAATGGATTGAATGGAATTATATCACTTAAAAGGGAGTTTACGGCCACAACCTTGGAGTTTACGGTCGTAAACTCACCCATGGCCAAGAAAATTGATTTAAGCTACAAAGGATAATCACATGTGATTCTAACTAATTTTCTAAAGCTTGGTATGATTTTAGAACACCATTAGACATATTTTTAGGAGTTTACAGCCTAGAGGCATGTTCTATGGCCGTAAACTCTCCTATAATCATGAAAAAATTAGTTTTTGATGCTTAAAACAATTACATGTGATTCTAGAAATTTATGCAAACCATTAGAGTGAATTTGATGCATCATTTAACAAGGTTTTATGAGTTTACGGCCAAGGGTATGTTCCTAGGCCATAAACTCCTATAAGTGGCATTTTTGATGTGTTACAAACCCTTAAACTATTTTTAGATGCATCTAGATTTTACCACAAGGCCATTGGTTGAGTTTCAAGGCATTTGGACATGTTTAAGGGCACTTAATCCCCCTTTTAGAGGAGTTTACGGCCCAAGAAGGTACCTTAATCGTAAACTCTCTTTTGTCCCCCAAAATTCATGTTTAATGAGTTCCAAGTCCAGATTGGCAAGCCTTAAGGTCATATCTAAGTCCCAACTATGATTTGGAAGGGTAATTTGGCTCAAAAACCCCATTTTGAGGAGTTTACGGCCAAGCTTGATCCTTGGCCGTAAACTCATGTTCTTGGTCCCAAAACTAAATTTAAACATCAATTTGAAGGCTAAAGAGGTTGGATAACAAGTTAGGGATGTTACCTCTTTGATTGGAAGCCTTAAATCTTTGTTTTAGACCTTTGATTATGGATGAGGAGAGAGGTTGGGAGAGTTTTTTGAGAAAATGGCCAAAGGCTTCAAATGGAGGCTTAAGACACATTATATAGTGTCTAAGTTTTGGACACGGTGGAATTCTACCCGATACCGGCGTTAGACGAGGCTTTTGGTCGTACCCGATTAGGTTGCCGTAACCCGATACGGTAATTTCTAGAAATATTCTGATCACTAAAGTTGGGTGTTAAAATGATTTCTAAATGTATTAAGACACCCATTAAGTCATTTTAGATACGTACAAGTTAATGACTTAATTAAATAGAAGATCGGAAATCGAGTTTGGAAACGACGGTTGGTTGCGTGAATTGTACTACGAAAGAGTTACAAGAAATGGTACGGAAATTTCGAGTTGTTACATTATCCCCCCGTTAAAGGGAATTTTGTCCAGAAATTCAGAGTTTAAAAACACAAAACAAGATACAAATCATGGATCTGGAAAGACTTGTGGATACTTCTGTTTCATTGAATCTTCTCGTTCCCAAGTGAATTCCGGTCCCCGCTTGGCATTCCAGCAAACCTTCACTAACGGGATGCGAATTTGCTTTGTACATTTGACTTCTCGATCCATGATTTCGATCAGATCCTCTACAAAGTTGAGGTTTTCATTGATCTCGATCTTGTCTATGGGAATCGTTAGGGTTTTATCGGATAGGCACTTTTTGAGATTTGAAACATGGAAGACAGGATGAATGTTACTGAGTTCATGAGGTAAGTGAAGTTTATAGGCAACTGGACCGATCCTGGAGAGGATCTCGAAGGGTCCAATGTACCTTGGATTAAGTTTCCCACGCTTACCAAAGCGTACAGTGCCTTTCCAGGGTGAGACTTTTAACAGGACACGGTCTCTAACCTGGAATTCTAGTGGTTT